GAATTCCTATATTTATTCAAAATTCTCAATACATAGGCCTGGACAAATGTGAATACAACTCAATAGAAAGCAATATTCCTTTTGTATTTCTGTGAAAACATAATGCAGGAGAAAATCACTCCTCTGTTTGAATTAGAAAAGTAGAACGTAAATATAGCACAAATTTTTAATTTAGTAGGGTTTTAACTAATCTCTTTTTCCTAATTAATGTCTTGATTTCATTCCCACTACATTTGATAGAGCTTTATGAGTTTTCTGGCGCTGCACAGTCTCCTTCAGCAGTCTCACAATTACAGGTAGACCTGCTTGATCCAAAACTCAGAGCAACTATTAAAATTCTCTCATTTTCAAGCTTAAAAAATGTGAGGGCAATTCTATTTCCATTTTATTTCCCCTGATCAAAGGGTTAATTCTATTTGTGTGGCCTATTGAGCTAGCCTAGAAACCAAACTTCCTTTCCAGGGGAAAACAGGAAAAAATGTTCTCAAGAGGATGATCCTGAAATGCAGTTTCCCCTACAGCTGTTCTGACTTCATGTGTAGATTTAAAAATACTACCTTATGCCAGGAGGTTTCTGTTTCCCCTCGATGCCAGCTACAATCAGGAGAACCAGCTCAGGCAGGGATCTTACATTACCTGCTACTTTCAGGAACCATTTTTTATATTCCATAAAGAAACAGCAGTAGTTCTTCCTCTCCCTTTATATAGTAGCAGTTCTTCCAGACACTGGTACCTACCTTTGTAAACTTCTCCACCTCCTAGAGAGAGAAGTCTTGGGCCCACTCAGAGAATGCCACATTGACTTCATTACTGAGTGTTTCATAACAGGCCACTGTAGCTTCAAACAAACTATAACTGCCCAGAGCATAAAGCTCAGAGGGACACAGGACAGAGACATGTCCCCTCCTCTTCCTCTCTAGCTCTGTTAAATCAAACAAGATTGTCCTGGAATGATGAAGCTACAAAAGAGACTGCAGCGTGAGCCTGCAGCCTGAGTGACAGCACACAGCTACCCTGCTGCTCAACCTGCCACAGAACAAGCACAGCAGCACAGCAAACCAGACATTTATGTCTAATACATGGGATTCAGCAGGTAGAGAAAAGCTGGAATAGAAACACGAAACTCAGCAGGAGGATAGAAGACTAACACACAAGAGTCAGTGGGTCTCCAAGTAATTAAGAGTTCCAGTGAAAGAGCTGTACCACACTATCAAGTACTTCAATGAGGATAGAGATAAACTAGATTTATGTCTACCTAACTATAACACTATATACAGTGATTTTTTTTTCCTGGATTACTACTGAGGTACATAATAACACTCCTTTTAAAAGCTAAGGAAAGATCTAGCTAAATACACATAAGTGTCACAACGTGAGAAAGTGGCTGTCAATAACTAGAAATTGTCTTTCAATATGGTAATCTCTCACTTTAGGCAGCAAGTCCTAACAGCCAATGGAAAGCACAAGTTTAGAACCTCAATTGCTTTAATTGCACTTTCCTAGTTTACAGTCACAGGAAAAATGATCCTTTCATCCGTATTTGGTATCTGTGTTCTACATCTTCCAAGGAGCCCAGCTTCTCATTAGGTCAGAAATGCTGCACTGCCCTGACAGAGCTGGCTGCACACAGCTGCCTCTGCCTGGCTTCCCAGGCGTGACAGAGGCATTCATTCCTCATGAGAGGGGAAAAAAAGGAGGAAAAAAAAATCATCGACTTCTAATGACTTTCTGACAATGCCATAGAACTTCTCTCTTCTGATGCCACTTTTGAAGACACTTAGATCAACAAAGGAAAGGGCCTTATGACTTGAGTCAGAGAGATTGGTTCTGCACTGCTTACAAAGCCACTGCACTTTCCTTAAGAAAAGGGAATTCTGACTCCAGCGAACAGCTCTGTAAGTCAGCCAGGCGCAGCGCGGCGCGGCCGCTGCCTCCTGCTGGCCCCAGCACAGCGCCCAGCGCCTCCTGCATCCCGGCACGGCTCAGCATCCTCCGGCCCCGCACGGGCAGCCTGAAAACCCAGAGCACAACATCCCCTTCCACCTACCGAAGCTGCTAAGTCAACTAAATAACACTGGGAATCTCAAAACACAAGGCAGATTATCTCCTGAGCTACAGTGCTAAGAGGCTGCTGCAATTTAACCCTTATTTCAAACTACAGTGGAATAATATAGTTTGCTCACTGCACTAAGGAAATAACAACTCTGCTTTGATTAAATTTTAATATCACTTGAATTTCTGAAATAAGGTGCATACCTATTTTGTCAAATCCATCTGAAAACCTGATCAAACTAGCTGAAGGACTAAGACAGCCAGGAGCTGAGAGTCTCTAAGGCTGATACAGTGTAAACTAAATTTTTTTCCCATTATGTTAAGAGTATACAGTTAAAAAAACTAAGCAGTCCTGAACACCACAGAAGGTCTCTAATACCTTGATCTTAGAAGGTGAGGTTAATGGGCTGTTGCAATAGCTGTGGCAGTTTGAGACAAGACATCTCCTGAGCTGGCACCTCCCTCAGCCTTCTACCAGCAATCTGTATCCAGCAGCACAAAGTACAACTACCAGAGCACATTCATATGCTCCAGAAAACCAGCTCAGTTGTAGATGAAAGCAGTTTGAGGATCTTTTCAATGAAGGGGTTGGTTCCATGATCTGAATCTGCACTGCTGTGGTTCTAGTTGTCTCACTCCCATCTTGACCATTCATCTTCTGTGCTGGCCTGTTACATCCACACTGCATCTATTTTGCATGAGAACCTCTTAGTGCTGCCAAGAAAGATGAGCTGCAGTGCATAAGCATTTATTTTGCCTAGCCTGGCATGCATGTGGATGGATACATGCATATGTGCACTTGGAAAGAAAACACATTAAGAAAGAAGTGTGGAAATTTATATTCACTCAGTAGAAAGGAGAGGGAGAGGGAAGAGAGAAAGAAGTCTTAATCCCCAAGAGGGAATACACCCTTGAGCTTCAGCGAGTTTACTGTGCAACACTGAAGCCTAAATTCCAAACATCTCTCTCATCCATGTGCTGCTAAGCATGGTAAAGCCTCACACTTACAGGGTCAGGAGGGACATGAAGATGATGCTGCCAGTGCAACATGACCTGTCTGCACCACTGTAATGGATATCAGGGAGGGACAGAAAATAAATGGTTACAGCCCCTGCTTACCATCACCCAGTTTCCTTTCGAAAAGGAAACACTTCAGCAGGGAGGTGAATGTGTGTGCACGATACAGGCAGATTCCTAATAAAACTGAAGTATTTTTCCATATGTGATACATTCCTTCTCATTTGTCCTGTTTTCTACCCTTCAGTTATTCCTCTCAATCATAATCCATAGATTCACTACTGGAAATTTCTCTTCACAATACAGAAACCAAGCTGCATGCTGATCAATGTCACTGCTGAAAAAACAATTTTCATGAGTGGATAAAGGCCTGTGTGATCTACTTGGAAGGTACTTTAAGCAGAAGGCCTAGTGAAATGACAAAATAGTAAACACATGTTTTTAGGCTGAGTAATTTTTCCATCAAAAATCGTACATTTAGTTATGGCATGAGCCATAACTACTACAGAAGTCCATGGGTGTTTTGTTAATCAATTACAGTCAGTCAGGTGAAAAGAAACCAAGTGCACAAGAAATGGAACAGTTAATAGCTACACAGCCTAAAGCAAATCTCCATAGATTTAGCCAACAGTTCTAGCAATTTCACTGTCATCACATCAACATTAGATGGCAGCAAATACCTGTAAACTAATACAGGGCAAGACTAGTTGTCACCAAGGTGACAACGGTCCAACACCAAACCCTTCAAACTGCAAATACAGTAGTCTTGTCAGCCCCAGAACGCAGATCCCGAAGAACACAGAGGCTCTCTACTTCAAAACAAACAAAAAGCCAAACTAAGCCACACGAACAAGCAAATCTTAAAGGTGAAGGCAAATACCTGTAAACTAATACAGGGCAAGACTAGTTGTCACCAAGGTGACAACGGTCCAACACCAAACCCTTCAAACTGCAAATACAGTAGTCTTGTCAGCCCCAGAACGCAGATCCCGAAGAACACAGAGGCTCTCTACTTCAAAACAAACAAAAAGCCAAACTAAGCCACACGAACAAGCAAATCTTAAAGGTGAAGGATTACAAGTGGGTATAAAATTTTTTTTTTAGCAGAATGGAAGAGGTTGACTCTGCCTCCTCTGAGCATTTTCTACACTGCATCCCATTGCTTGACATCACATCCTCAAGGTTTTCAGTAAAGGCTACTGAACATCTAGACCATAAATTATCATCTTTTATTTCCTGAATTAAACAATTTACTTCTGCTAGAAAATGCAGCTGGAGGCATGTCAACGCTAGAGGGGAGCAGAGCATCACACCAGCTGAATACATACTGCATTCCCTTCTAAGGATCCACAATTGGAAAAAATCACTGGGAATTTGGGATTCCCAGACTTAATGAACTATCGTGGCACAAGTGAATGCAAGATAGCAATCTCGTTAGAAGAATATCATAAGAAAACTCCTTCATTTCACTAATATGTGTCACTGCATTTGATTAGAGCTGCAGAATTTCTGTCATTTACCTAACTAGACAACTAATATTTGCATGGGATATAATAATAATTTTTTTCCCTCATGTTAAGTTCCGGTACTTCTCAAGAAACACCCAAAAAGGCAAAAGTCTTAAAAATACATCCCACCAACAACTCAGAGTGTTGCAAGATGGCAGAGATGCTACTAGAGAAGACAATGTACATCAGGCCAATACCTTCTTAGTACCCCGTTGGGCAAAAGACCGTTCTAAAAATTTCCACTTCAGTGTTTGATACAAGTCACTGTACCTGGGCTACAACTCCAACATCATAACATTACAAACTATTAAGTAATACCATAGAGAAAACTGGTTATAAAGGGTAACCAGTGGTAACCAGTAAGCACAGTATTTCCACTGCTTGGGACCAATTCAATCCATATGGAGTATTTTGTCAACCTACCTCCTTTCTGCAGCAGATAGATGGGCACCACATAGAGCATCACATGCTGGATGTAATAAATTTCCGTTTCAAATGGAAGCTGTGGAAAAAGAAAAACATATGTAAATATTTTTCAGCACTAACAACCACGTCACAGGGAACCATTCTCCTCCTGATCCATAGCAATGCCTTCAGTTATTTTATCCCGTGTCTATTAACAGTGAGCTGACATTAAGAGTCAGTGCCTTTAAAGTGCAGCTAACTGTACCCATTCTATTCCCCTTACACAAATCACTACAGCACTTCCAGTAGACAATTCCCAAAATTAGCCAGAAGCACAACAAAGAAGGAAAACGATTGTTCTTTTCCCTTTCTTTGTTAGCATAAGTTACCAATAATAATGCAAAACCCCCAAGTAAGGAAACCAAAAGCTATGCTCGGCCCATACAACAGAATTCTTTTTAGAAAGAACAGATACTTGCTACATTGTGACAGAACTCTGTAAATGAGGTCTTTTATAAATAGAAGTATATAAATAAATATATACCAGTCATTACTGAGGAGGTCTGTGCAAAAAAAAAAAAAAAACAAAAAAAAAAAAAACCAAAAAAAATTTAAAAAAATAAATCAAAGGGCCTGACCTAGAGCAATCTGCATGTGTCACACTGCTAAGCTTGACAAAATATGAAATAGCCAGTATTTTACTGGTTTTAAAGAGAAGCTGCAGAAGGATGTGTGCTAACAAAGTTACCAGTTAGTAGTAAATCAGTTATTTCTCACCTGCTGACAACTTTGGGAAATTACCATTAGTGATTTCTGCGTCTAGTTGAATTCATGCTACTTGTCAGAAGAGAAGTCAGACAGGCTGTGCTGAAACAATACTGTGATAAAAAGAACTTGAACCATAACTGAGTTTGAGCCCCTTAATCCAGACCTAACTAATTCTAGTCCTTTATCAATTAGAAAAGGTGCTGCACTGTATTTGAAAGCTATTCCTATCTGTAAGTACCTCTGCCTATATCTGTTTGTTACACTAAAGGAACACATTTAAAACTGAACAGCAGTAGAAAACACTCAAAACTGAGGATTCAGCCTCTTGCTGCAGCTGACTTACAGAGCTGAAAAGCCACAGTGTTCCATTATTTTCTGAAGTGAAAACAGGACAATCCCACAAGTAGGAAATCTCACAGGAACAATGCAAAGCCATTAGCTTTGATTCAAATGTGTCATTCTACAGCCTAAAGAGAATTCACACGGGACCTACCATCATGTCTTGTCTGTTGGGAAGCATGGAGGGCGGAGAAAAACCTTTCTTGCCTATCACTGTTCTGAGACACTGAACCCAGTGTTGGAACAGAAATGTTACAAGAATGTCTACATCAACAGAAGTAAAGACAAGTTGAAAGAGTTTGGGTTTCTTCCCAAATAGCAGTCAATAAACAGCTGGTAATTAACACAGTGATCTTTTAAATTCAACTACAATTCTTATATTCCATTTTTAATGTAAAAATTGCTAAAACCAACAGCAGAATTCTGATAGTCCTGGGATTCCCCAGCTGAATATTGTCTGTGTCCTGATGGCAATCTCCAAGGTGTTCAGTCAAGGCCTGGGAGACTACGCTTAAAAAAAAAAACAAACTAAACTTCCATACAATCTGTTGGGTTGTTTTGTTCCAAGTATTCTCTATTGAAACATAAATTCAAACAAGATAATAGTATACAAAAGCAACAACTTAATGATAGCTGCAAGGTTTCCTGAACCTTTCCTTCTGTCCTTTGCTGAAAGGCACAGAGAGCAAAGTGAGGGAATTAAAATTACTTGGGAAGGGGCTAAAGCAGTTTTCCTAAGGAGAACAAGCTGTACCTCTCCCCCTTCAGAAACAATTGCTCCTGATATAAACTCCACACCATGAGGCACTCACTCCTGCTAAGGAGCATTCCCTGTTTAGTATCTGTGGTTTTGTAAGGGCTTCCACACTCACAGAGTCGTGAGGGTCTGTTACACAAACACTGCGCTCAGGACACTCCTGAGAACAGAGTAACAGTTGTTATGCTGCAGTAGCGTTGACAATATTTTTTTGTGTGTAAAACAAAACATCTCTTTGCCACCGTAAAAGATGGCTTGTTCTGGAGCCTGACTGATTATGCAAGTGCATTTCCTGCTACAGAGCTGCAGAGTTTCTGTACAAGCAAGCACTCAAGTTGTATAGCCAGGCCACAGCAAACACAAAAAGAACAAACAGAACAGATGAACTATAAAGTTGTACTGAGCAACTGACTCGCCTAGCTCTAAATGCCTGGTCTATCAACTTTTATCAATAAGACTCACTCACAGGTAGCAGATGTACCTTTTACATGCAGGGAGAAACTGTAAGAAACAAGGCAGAAGGATTTAAAGGCAGTCTAGGATTTAAAGAACCTCTTTGTGAAAACAAGACCTTCGGCAAGTGGTAAAGTTTGAGAAATTAAACAAATCAAAGCAACACTTACAGAACAAAGTAAGTAAGATATTGGGTTGGTTCCTCTAATAATATTTGAGCATAGGCACCCGTGAAGGCCACAATGTATTTAAAACCAAATTCCAACAACCTCTAAAGTGGACCCTCTTCACAGATCACAGGAGACCCATCCTGCCGGGCCAGATGCCCCTGTGGAAGCTGACCACTCCTCCGAGCACCCACCTCACCTTCTAACTTAACCCAGCTACTGCCTAAAGGAAGCAGCAAAGTCTTTCCACTGACTGAGAAAAAAATCTCTTCAAGACAGCAGTCGTGCAGAGCCCAGAAGTCAGATATTCAGATGAGTGTTTCCCCCAAGACAGTAGGGACATAACACTAGTTTAGTTTAAACCCCCTTAGACAGCAGCTGGTTTTCAGTGGGCTAACAGGTTAACACTTTGCTCTGTTTGCTAGAAGCAGTACTCCTCCCTCTGTTAATTATTTAGATCTTGGCTCAAGCACTGTACTGTGCCAGAGCACTTCCTCCACCATTCTCTACAAAGACTGCAGAGTATGGCAAAGGACAGAAGGAAGCCAACTCCCAGATTCTGGTCTTCTCTATAGCACACCTAGTACACAACCTAGCAAACACCAAATGCTGTACTGTACCAGTCACCTTCTTAGACAGCACCAGGAATCAATAACACACTCAATATCAATTTCATGCACACAGCATGTATATTAAAGATGCACAAACCCTGACTTTATCACCTACCAGCAACCAAAGCACTATCTCTCAACAGCCCCAAACTGTTCCCATTATTTACCCTTGTGCCAGTTAGATTAGGCCAGTTTAGAGATGACATCATGTACTACCTATTTCACTTTGCCTGAAATGCCTATGTCTGCACAGCAAATTATTTAGTGCAGTGAATTATTACCTTAACAATCAACAGCAATACAGCAGGCAAAGATCAGAGTGTACTCAAAGTCCTGCTCAGAGTCTGATTCTGCTCCCAAAGCAGATTTAGAATGTGTACCTCTCAGGCCAAATAGTTCTAATAATAGAATATAGCAGCTTCTGGAAACACTAAAACTGCACCATCTCAGCCACGTGAGCAGAGACAACAAGTCCAACACCTTTGGGACATGTCCTGTTTTTTACTTTATCTATATCAACATTTTCAGGACATCAGCTTGCAAAAAAACCACTTATAAAGCAGTGGAAAGAGCTTCTTTTAAAATTTGATTAATGCATTATGAAAGCTCAAACAAACCCAGTTACTCTCCAAATACTTGGAGCCTTTGTGGCAGTTAAATGAATTTAGCCACACAACTAGGTTATCAGAACCCACACTATTACATAGAACATAAATACAGAGTGAAAAGAAATCTTTCTACTCCCATATATACTCTTATTCCTTTCTAGGCTCTGACTTGGCATCCTACAAGCTAATTCCCTTAGCATCTTCTCCACTTACTTAAGGGTCATAAACGATCCATGCGAATAGTTAATGCCAACCAAGAATCATTTGCATCACGATAAAGGGATGAAATTATGAGAGAAAATTAAAATGCCCTTTTAGAAATAAAGGGCAATAAAAACTCACAAAAACACTGACTAAGAAACAGTTTTATCTTCATCCAGTGCCTATTCCAATGCACAAAATTTAATTCCACCAGCACATCATAAAAAATGTAGCAAATAACAGGAGTATTTAGGTGCCAAATAAATACAAGTGAGTGCATCTGTTGCTCAAGTCTGTTAACTATTGACACTTCAACATCATGCCAAGGCAGGAAAATATTTTCTTGGAAAGAACAGAGTAGACTGACCTCATCTTTCAGGCTACATTTTTCTGGAACACCATCCCAGGTGCCCATTACAGTCCAACAAAATTTTTAACAAGCATAGTTTAATAGATTAAAACACAGAAGGTAGAAGCTTTCTACTGCAGTTTCAGTGAATGCCTCAACTCTCCATTTCCAATGGCAATAGCTACTATTTTAAAATAATTTTGAAACAACTGAGGTTCTAAAAAAAACCCAAAAACCAGATACATTACAGGAAAATGAAAACCATTAAATTATGCCAGAAGCTTTCACAAATTTATTTTTCAGGAGAATTTAACATTGAATCACATATACAAAAAGAATACTTACAATACATTAAGTAATATAATTGGTAGTAAAAAACCCGTGTCCCTAACCAACTGTGCCAGAGAATGTTGTAAGAGGTGTTCTGGAAATTACTTTGAACAGGTTAACACTTACAGCCAAAGTCCTGACACCCACTAAAACAGCCATCAGCTGGTGAAGCAAAGACTCTCTTTCATTCTGTATCTTCTGCTTCTTGCCTCTTTCAGATGATTGATATGTACAAATATTAGATGTACACTTTTGTGTACATCTAATATTTTTTCCTCACTATACATCTTTCACCTCCATAATGACACACAACTTGCTAGCTCCCACCTACACCCTCCTGCTGAGCTGCTAAACTAACAAGGCTTCTCCCAACAGAGACAATGGCTCCACAACCATTAGCTGCTGCCTGCAAGGTACCAAACAGTCACATGGAGGTTTAGGACAATGTCAGCTGAGGACAACGAAATACCTACATTAGTTATTTACTATCCAGCTGTAGAGCAAATCATTCATAAGGTTAGAACACATTTTACACTCTGAAAGGCATCAGTGAGGCATTTCAGTGCTCACGGCAATACATCCATTTGGCACAGTCTCTCAAAGTGATGGGAGGCAATAGTCTCCTGCTTTCCAGCTTCACTGACCTCAGAACTCTCTCTGCCCCAGACTCAATTCCCTCCCCACTTCTAAATCAATGCTTGGGTTAGGTGATCAATTTTTCATGCTCTTTGTGCCACACACTATATATTACAACTGTTTACAGACATAACTAAGTATATTACATTTTTGTATAAAACACAGACACAGTAAAATAAATCTTAAAATACCATAAAACTAAGATTTCAAAGTGGAGGCATAGAGACACAACAATTCTTGACTGAATCAGAAGTTTTTCACCCATAAACCAGAGCAGACAGCTCAGAAAAAAATTGAGATTTTTTTTTTTCTTAATTCCTACTAAGTTTTAGGAGACATTTCCTGCTTACAGGACAATGTCAATGTGAACAACTACTCGACAGTTGTGGAGCAGAATGTGTGTCTGCCATGAGAGAATCTGGGTCAAAGCAGCAGTGCTATCCAACATCACCCACATTATCTCGTGCCAGAAGAAACATTGAAAAGAGAAAAGCCTAGCAAGCAGCTGTTAGGCCAAAAATATCCTATGCTGTATTTATTCCAAAAATATTTGCTCTTGGACATTATCCTCTGGCTCCTCCATTCCTAATTAAGGAGAGAATTTTATAGACTATATCTTTCCTGTTTAATCACCACTGCCTAATATGAACGAGTTCTGTGATAATGGCAGAGAAAATACAAGCTAGTGATTTATTAAATACTTCAACACTTTGTCCTTCAAAGGTTACCCAGAAAAACAGTTTTGTCGTGCTTAAGGTTATATTTACTTAAAAACTAGACAGCTTGAAATACAAAATAAAAAGAGTCATCTTTATCAGAAAGAGAACAGTT